ATATGTGTATATATATATATATATATATATATATATATATATATGTACGTTGTATTTATAATTGTATAGCAATTAAATAAATCCTAAAATTCTCTGTCATGTAATACCATTTGTTTCTTATTGTTAGTGGAATCATGTGTAGGACAACATTGTGTCGTGTTCGTTATGTTAAAATGTACATAAAACTTATTCGGTGTATCTCTTGAGTCTCATTATGTGATATATTGCGACTTTCTCGTCATTGTATACTTTCGATCGCGATATCTGGAAACGTTTCTGTCATAGACTCGCCTTCTTTCACTTCTTCTATTTCTCACAACGATAAAGGAAGTATGATGGAACATAGCTAGAGTGCAGTGTGAAATTTGTCCGAACTTCCAGGATAAAAATATGCTGTCTAATTATAGAAAGATTTTGTATACACACGCACGCACTCTCTCTCTCTCTCTCCGTTTTTATATTGTTTTGCAATTTACAATTCAATATCTAAAACGTACATATTTACATGGAAAATCTTGAAAATAGAAAACGCACGTTCTCTGCAATATAACAAATTTTATTATTTTAAACGGAATTATTCCCAACTAAAACCAATTATTCTTGTGAGATAACATGACGTTAATAGGAAAGAGCACATTATCGCATATTAAAATTTTATTTTAAATTTGATATTTGTGTTTTAGAAATGTTCAAGAGAAAGTTTATCACTCTTTTACTTTAAATTTTTGCATGCGTAAACATGAAGATTATCACAAAAGAAATAAATAACGTGCAGAGTTGAGACTGCCTATTCATATATAGGTGTCATGAGAAAAAAGTATATATTGATTTTCTTATATCTTATATTTATAAAAAGAAGCCAAAAATCAGAACTATACAATAACGATAATGTAATAATAATGGAACAATTACATTAATAATTACATACAACATGTGTTATGTCTATATTTACATTCAATTAACCCTAGAATCCATGACTGGGGTCGATTTCGACCCCAGGCGAACTTTGAACTACGCTCCTGAGCTAGCGAGTGACATTATCGACTCAGGACCTGAACCATAATTCATTTCAACTTTCTAAAAGTAGGGTTATGTCGGGCGCAGCGTTAGTTGTTCGCTAGCAGTGAAGTAGCACAGTCGTAAAGCGGGCGTGGGGTCGATATCGACCCCAGTCGTGACTTGCCGTTTGAGTTTCGTCACGGTAAGCTAATTTTATTTTTTTCGCTAGAATCAATATATATCATGTATTATTACGTAATCTGAGCATAAATAGTCATAAATATTATTTAAGACGAAATATCACACAATTTAGTCGGTAAAAATCCCGTTGCCTAAGAAGATTGACATTTCGCAGAAAATGGCTGGGCGATATAATGTTTCATTTTTTTCATATTTTTTACTATTTTGTATCAAATAAAAATGAAATAATACTTAAAATACAATTTTTTATGGTTTTTTCATCGACTTTTTCCGTATTTCAACTTTGCGAATTTCTTCATCTTTATAGTCCCAAATAAATATACTTTTTGAACAGAACATAGCGATGACAATTTTTTTCTAATAGTCTAATGTGTCCTCTTTAAAACCCCGTTTGAAATTTTAAAATCGGTTGATTACAAAAAAAGATACAAATTTTTGTTTAAAAAAAGAGGTTTTTGCTGATTTTCTGCGTTTTTCAGTCTTTAAATGGATTTTTCACTAACTAAACTTGAGTAAAATTAAATTTACCGTATACCATTCTCTTCGTTATTAAAAAACGAAGAAATTCATGTAGGTTTAAAGGCCCTTTATTTCTGTAGGACCGGTTTTACGATCAAATAAAGCGTGGGGTCGATATTGCCCCCAGTCATGGATTAGAAGGTCAAAAAAATGTATCATGGATTCTAGGGTTAAACAAAATGTTCTTTAGATTGGGCAAATTTCGCACTGTGAAATGATGAATTGTAATAAGAAAATAAGCATTCATTACGTATGCGTTGCTGATTATTGACTTTCACGTTCGCTAACAAATATCACGCTGTCTTGCGATTTACGAGCATCTATTTTTGGATTACAAATATAGATATAAAAAGATAGATTCAATCAATATTGGCTGTGTGCATGTTGCGCAAATACATATAATACTGAATCTATCTTTTTATGTTTATAAGTTGGACGTTAATCGGTCTTATCCACGGGCTTAGCACTAGCAAAAGAATTAGAATAATACCTATATAGCATGCTGACGGTAGAATGAAAAATCATCTTTAATGTTACTTTAATGTTAATGTGCACGTGAATTGAGAGGAGCAGAAAGTGTGTATCCCAACCGTTCTACTTTTGATACGTACAAGAGGTCGTAAAACCGATAAGATTGATCTTTTAAAGCGCCACGTGCCAACAACGAATATCAAAAACGTGGAGTCCGGTTCTAAACTTTAATTATACCACGTATGCCAATCTTATGACGAAATTACAACTAAGCACTCGTATTTTTTTAATATCTTGATTCGTCAATTAACGACGCACGTATATATAGAATAAAAATGCTATTGTATGTACATGTCAAAACGATATTCTCATTTTTCATATGTGAAATAAGAACATTTGAAGAGAGGAGAAGTGTTAAGAATAAGAAATACATCGACGTGCACAGTCTCGCGTTTGCAACATCCCAATTAAAATAAAATTCGACGTGGACTACGGTTTTGATATTCGGTATTGTAATGTTGTTGCAGTAAAAAAAATCAATCTTATTGCTTTCGTAACAGATACATACAACATACATAAAAATTTCCCTTATCGATTACGCAAGAGTCAAATAAATTCACCAGTTCGCGTTTTCTCGTCAGTTACATATATACATTCGCGATGCGGATCGGGACTATTCGTAGTCCAGCTACTCTTAAAAGCAACAATAATAGTTCGTTTATCAGCGCTTAATCGCGAGAATAGAAAGGCGATCGCGAATAAAACGATTTAAGGTTGCTTTCGGTATATTCGCCGATACATTGCACGTTCGGATTTACTTGATTCTATAATTTTCTAAGTCTTGTTGCGACAGTACGCACAGTCACTCGTTTATCTTTGCCTCATTGAGACTAGAAAGACGAAAGACGCACGGAACTTGAAATATATTACTGTAGGTCTTGCTGCGACAGTATATTACACACGATGTGAAAGGAAATCTATGATCAGCCGTATTTAGTGCTAGACAGATTCGATGAAGATACGAGCATTTCAAGCTTCGCCAAATCTCTTCGAAATAATGATGCATATCGCATGCTCGCTCGCAGTTTGCATTAACGAAACAGACTCGTCGGTTTATCGTAATTTCAATATTTTATTGCGAAATTTACAGTATAACTGTTAGACGCGGATGTTTGAAAGCCCATGATATTAACGATTCAAAGAAAAAAAAAAAGATTTTAATATAAAGGGAAGTATTTTTCATTCTCTCTCTCTCTCTCTCTCTCTCTCTCTCTCTCTCTCTCTCTCTTTCTCTCCCTCCCTCCCTCCCTCCCTCCATCTCTCTCTCTCTGTCGCGACTTTTACACAGCATCTGTATGGATTAATAAAAGTTAAAGATTTAGAGATTTATCTTAATTTTTTTCTAGTTTTACAAACTTTTGTTATTACTCTCTCCGGAGAGTTATGTCATTGCGTAAAAATGTACGCCTTTGATGTACGATACGCGTCCTGCGATCGAGCAAATATGGCGAATCATATAAATAAAATAAAGCAAATTCTTTTTCTCTCTCTTACTTTCTATTCTTCTCCCTCCTTTTCTCTTCGCACCAACTAATGAATTCGGTTAGTAGTATGTAAAATTCATCAAAGTGCGTAAGCTACGTTCAGCAGATATAACAGTCATGGACGTGCTAAGCAGCAATCGAATGTGAAATAACAAATTAGCTTAAAAAAGAATTTTTGTTTGTTGAACTGTTTAGTGAGTCTGATTGACAATGAGTCAATAACACTTTACACGTATATAATGCTTTTATGTCACTTTGTGTGAGATTACTTCCAACGCACCAGTGTACCAGTGCATTCCGTCCAATTCACTCTAGGAGATAAGAATATTTGCTTCATTTTTATCTATATGCAGTATCCAGTGATTGGTAGGTCGCTTTGCACACACCGACACCCCTTTGATTCGTCATCAACTGGTCGGGAATCTTAAAGTCTATATACGTTTATATCTCGTAAAGCATCCTGTAAGCTGTCCCGTAATCGCGTGTCACCATGTTCCGCGACAATCTATATAATCACATCCATTAACAAATAATTTTCCATTTCCAGGACAAAAATTTCATTACACATAAATAAATTATAGAAAATTGATGTGATAGGCCCGGGCAAAGCAACATGATTAAAATTGCGCTTATCTTAAGATTAAAAAGATATCACGAGTTCCCCCACCGCTTGTGTGAATCGTAAATAAGGACATTGCGAATGTTTATAAATTCAAGTCTTTTATGATGACAGCGATCACGGGTGGAACCGTTCGTTTCAAGCCTAATACACATCGACTATTAGGTTTACAAAAGAGATGCCCTACCTCGTAGGGCTTCAAGGATCGAATCGGTTTTACAGTGGAGAAGGATATGGGAATCCGGAGAACGCGGAGATCGAGAACTCGGGCTGATACGTAGGGCCAGAGACCGGTTACTCCCGCAGTTTATGCCAATCGGCGATTTGTCGTCGCGGTGAGCTGCATACCTCTTTCCAATGGTTTACAGCGGAACCTTGACATTTTGGTCCACCAAACTCTAGCCGGCCGATTACCTAAATTATTACATTGTGTTATGCGTGATTCATTTATCACGATTGCTAATCGCTGATAAAAGTAGTTTTGTTCGATAAACATTTCATTTCAAACACAACAACGTTAAATAAGCTTACATAAATTCTTTCAAAATTTTTCGATTTATTTTTGCACGTCAGTAAATTTAAAGAAATGAGACGTATATATTTACTTTAGTTATATGTACACATGTACACATGTATGTGCATCTTGAGCATTCCAGCCACGTCTACGCGTGCATACATAAACGCACATACACAGAGACGTAGCTAGAGTTTCCCAACATTATCGGATATTTTTCTAACTACAGATTTGTTGGCCAACCCCGAAATAGTTTTTCTTATAAAAAATATCAAGATATTATTTTCTAATTATTAACACGGTATCTGTAGTATTAATTTAACTTTAAAATATAATTTAAATCTAAAAGAATCTTCTGCGAAAGGTATATACATTTTCCAATTTTGGGATAGTCTATAAACATTACTTGATAGAGAAGTTGATTTGCGTAAAACGTACATTGATCCAAATTCCAAACAATAATGGAGTAAATAAAATATTGCGTTTTAGATGATTAAAGTATATATATATATATATATATATATATATATATATATATAAAAAAGTTACCTCGTTTTTCGTGACTCTATCCCAGTCCAGTAACATGAACTCAAGGCTGACATTGTTGAGTCCATCTGCACCGTTAGGTATGTCGAAGACGAAGGACTCATTAAATACCGGACTGAGCGTACGTTTCTTTACGTGCGTTTTCTTTTTAGCGATACGTTGTTGGTTGTACAGAAGATAGATTTTCACATACGGGTCAGCGAGCCCAGTCACATCCATCTTGGGTAGGTTTCGTGCTTTTAATACTACCACCGTCAGCCGGCTGGTAACAGGTTGCCAACAAAGAGAGACCAGCAATTCTCCTCTCCCTTGTGACTGTATCTAAAAAGAAATAAGAGAGCAAAAGAAATATTATTCATATTTCTAGATTTTTTAAAATAATATTTATTTATAGATAATGCTGTATCTCTCTCTTTCTTGGATATCCTTTTCACTAAAAATCTTATAGTCGATTTTTCATCGACAAAAATATCAAATTTATTGGGTTGGCCAATAAGTCCGTGCGGTTATTTATAAGTAACATTTATAAGTAAAAAACCGCACGGACTTATTGGCCAACCTATTATTTAAATAATTAAAAAACTAAAAATAGCGAATATTTAATGGTAAAAATTATAATTATTTTATATTAAGACGTATTATATGAGAAGTTATATTCTTAATAAAAAATGTAATAATAATATATTTTTATTATGTATTCTTTAGATACGTATAAATGAATTTTTATCTTCAGAACACATACAAGATATTTACCTTTAAGCTCCTGGGGTATATTTTTCGACAGAGAGATATTTCCTGATTATCCGCGTCCTCTAAACCGGGCACTGATGACAATGCACATGTCAATTCTCCAATGATATCGTCACGCGAGTATCTGTCAAAACTCAGCACGATGAAGTGTAAGCTGATTTTCTGGAATTATACGTTTCAACTAGGTCATTCTTCTCTTAAAAAAAGATTCTTTACAATACGTTTAATTGAGACGTTGGAGAACGAATTTGAATACGTAGATACGGGTACAGGTCATTTACCTGAAGCTGGCTCTGCGATATGCCAAAGAACGTGAAATCTTCATCGTACACTGGGTCCCTGGTATTTCTGAGGACTCTGGTTTTCACATGATGCTGTTTGTCAGGTAACAACTGCAGCTTCACATAAGGATCACTAGTGGCGTTCTGCTGACCTCTGGCTGGCAGCCCTTTGCATTTCACCACGGTGACCGCGAGCGCATTCTGCTCGCTTCGATACCGCAGTTTAAACACTAGCTGGCCCAGATTATCCTTGTCGTTTTCAGCTGTTTGGCTCTTGTCACGCTCGACCTTCTCATTGTTCTCTAGCTCGGCCTTGTCGCGCTCGTTCTCTATATTCACAGCGACCTCGACCGGCGTCTGTACCGGCGTACCTGCAGAGTATATTAATACAATAATAAATGTAACGTGTAATCAGAGATACGTGTGTCTCATGAAGAGACGGCGGGGTGACTTTTATTACGACGTATCACATTTTATGGCGTACGTTATATTACCTGCGCTTTGCGGTGTTCTGGGCTGAGACGCCGGGTTTGAGGACTGTGACCCCGTCGGGCTGGGAGTTTGTCCACCGGAACCAGGCGGGCTCTTAGCTGGCCCCGTCGGCGATGGGCTCTTCTTTAAATAGTGGCTCGTGCTGCCGGGACTTTTAACCGCCGTCGGCTTCCGATGTGGCGGTCTAAACGCCAGGGACTTGTCGGAGCTTAACTTGGTGTGCTCGCGACGCCGTCGGCAAAGCCACCAGGTCATCGCGACGGCGCATAACAGGAAAGCGGCACCGATGCATAGTGTCACCAACGTCGCCGTCGAGACTAAAATCGTACGCAGTGATTAAACCGATCGAATTGTAAAATTTAACGACGGATCATATAATGTCTTTTATGCAACACGTGCATGGAAAGTGCCCCATTACGCACGCTACGCGTGCGTGATAGACCACTTTCCAGGCACTTGCAACATAAAATAGGGAGTGTAAGCCGTGTGTAAAGATGAAAATTCCCGGGTGCGGAGTTTACGCACGAGCCGAAGGCGAGTGCGGTAACCGCACCCGGGAATTTTCATCTTACCTCACTTGTTACACAAATAACTATTTTCTTGTCTCCGAGTATTGTATCGAAACCAACGTCGCCGCGCGTGCGCGGAACAAGCGACTCTGGGATCACTGGTCGTACGCATGTGTACCTTTCGATTTCGATTTTGTTATACGTGCGCGTCTATTTTATATTATTGCGAGCAGCGCGGCAGCGTGTAACGCGACACGGGTGAGACAACGAGGGATACGACGATGTGCTTAGAGAGCACGTAGGACTTCTCTCTATACCTTACGTATCTTCTCGATGATGCCAAATGTAAACATGCGAAAAGTAAAGTAAAATGATCACGTGTTGCAGAGTTAAGCCCCCTAAACATGTTGCGTGACAGCGCTTTCTTTATGCGCCTTTATTATTCCGATATCCTATGGATTTAAATCGTGGTCCCGTGTCCCGTGGTCGGACTAGTTGGGACCTGGGCTATATTGACGCGTAACGCCTCTAAATTTTCCAGCGCTCTTCACGGCGGACGTGTGCATCAAAGCCATATTCCAACGATGATCACGTCTGCGAAAAGATATAAGCGAGACGCAACACGTGAAATTGAATTTTACGCGTTGGGAAACAGTTTCCCCAAGGGACGTGACGATCTAACGCAGTTGCAAGCGAAATGACATGGCAAGAGCTAACAGCTGTCAGCCCACTCTATTCCAGACACCATTGGGAAGATTTCGTCCGTTATCGCGAACGCGGTGCGCGGTGGATGATGACGCGGTCGCGCTTGCAGTAATGATTCCGCGATGATGAAAGGTATCATATCGGCAACGCCACGGCCACGGCGACGGCGGCGGCGGCGGCGGCGGCGGCAGACGGGTGGTTCCGGAAGGAGGTCAGGTGGGAACGTCGCCGTCGTCGGCACTCACCGGGCTCGACAGGTCGAATGAGAGGTCCACCTTCGGTCACTCCGCCGACCATCTTCGGGCACGCTGCTCTACCCCTGAATGCTGAAAAGGATTATGCCTTTATCCGCGTCTTAAATCCGTTCGCCACGGCACACCGAACGATTATTTACGGGCGGCGTACGGCCCGACGTCCGTGGCACTCTACCTACCGTGCTACCGTCCGATCGTCGCGTCGGCGTGGATCAATAGCCCTCCTGAGGAACGGAGCTTGCGCGGAGAGAACCTGAGGACGATACGCCACCGGCACTACCGACAGCGTCACCGCCGTCACCGGAAAAGTGTGATAGCATAGGGTGGCCCCCGACTCCCCCGTCTCCCCAGTCCCCATCTTCGTTCCGGGGGTGATTCGCGGATGACCCGTCAGATCCGCGCGTCTGACGCACGACGTCAAATTCGATTGATCTATAGAAAACAATTTCTAAATTATTTGACTGTGACAGAGTCTTCTGACCCTCCTGACATATCGAATCATTTTAAATATATGTATAATGATGTGTATGACGAGAATCTCGAGTCATCATCAATATTATGCAAAATCTGCAGACAATTTTTAAGTCTAGAATGTTCTGAATATCTAAAAAATCTAAATGTTTCGAAGACATATTTTCTCTTTTAAAAATATATTTGCTCGATATTTAATTCAGTATTAGATATTTAGTTCTTCAGTCAGCTTTAATATCTCCATAGCTAAGCACGTAAGATATATTGACGTGCTACGTGTTGAGAGTTCCTCCGTTGTTCTTTTTTACGGTTAAAGTTAAATGCAAACGACAGGTAGGTTTAGGTGACATCTTATGTTTCTCTTCATACGATATAAATCATAACGTGTAAGGCAATATATTATATTAGCTCGTAGTTTCAACGTGCACTGGTAATGTAAATTGATATGGGTAAAGTCTGGTAAAGGGTCTATGTGTATCTTGGACAAAAACCGCAGAAACGTTAGATGAGTATACTGAAGACTATAAACTAGCGCGTTTACTTGCCACATGCTAAAGCATTGTTTTGAATTATCGATCAACGAACGCTGAAGCAGAACGTAAAGCAGAAGAGATAGAGAATAAGGTATTTGCCTATATTGCCTATGTTTCAGTAAAAATATAATAGATGAATAAAACAGTTGCTTAGACTTTTTTTATCTCTTCGAGAGTTCGACGTTAATTTCTAGCTAAACACGAGATACGTATCATACGACGTTATGGAATAAATATAGATTATTGTACGTTGATGCGACTTAACTTGAAACGTGCAACTGGCGCGGCGTATGAACGTATTGAAATTTACGACCGATCGAATGGCCAGTCCACGACGCTTATGGTTGAGGTGGTTGAGATATAGTTGAAATGGTTGAAATGATTGGGATGAACGGGACGTCGCATTTTTACTGCGGAATTTTACTTCGTTCACATTTTAGGTCCACTTTAAAAACGTATGTACGTCTGCTGCATGGTATGCATAGAACGCATAGTTACGCAAAATTTCAACGAGATACAATGGACTCGTTATTTCTACGAACATTTCGAATATTTCGCGAATTTACGATACAATACGTGCTTGTTATGACAAATGCGAAACCTTGAGCACGCGAGTTGACGAGTTCGGAATCCACAATAAAATTGTAGTCGATTTATTGATTTGCCAATAAATTGCGCAGTTTCCGACATAGATACGTGAAAGGAACAAGGGTCTCTCTCTCTCTCAACAGATCGCTAATCTCGCGCAAATTACAACGATATATATCTCGATGCGAGTAAAATTAAGTATTACATATGTATAATAAATGTGTTTTTTTAGATTTATTAGATAAAGTAGACAGATAAATAAAAATGCGCATGAAACAAATAAAGACTGCACGCGCACGCGATTTTATAATTTATCCTTTTCGGCGTGCAAGCGGCGTGTAATAGCATTTGTTGTTTGTTGGCAGTTAACACATTACACAGGGTGACGTACCGTACGACACGACATAGCTGGAAAAGAGATGACTCATATAAACAAATTAAATTAAATTTTAGTCAACTTAAATGGAATAAAATAAATTCAAGAAAAATTAAATTTAAAAAAAAGTAAAACGTTGAGTTATGCTTGTGTAACATTATTAAGAAGGATCATGACTGTATGCGCCAAGTGACAACTACCCTGACATTTTGTTTTAATGTTTAAAACGTCAAGTATCAATACTAGACGTAAATATCCAAGCTATCGAAGTGAAAAATTACGCTACCATCTCGAGCTCGAGCGCTCTGTAAGGATACCTGTGCATTTTAGTGCGAAAATGACCCTATTGACCCAGTGAAGAGTAGAATCCAGTGATCCCCCCCCCCCCCAGAGGGGCCAAGAGGGGAGCCGGGTACCGGGTATATTGCGCATGAGCGTCGACGTTCTCACACGCGGTAAAGTATCCTGTTTGAGAAAAAATGAATATTATATGGTCCTTTATTAAATTTATTTTTAAGAATAACCTAAACATTTTGAAAGATCACGTTTTCGTGTAATAATGTACATACTTTTAATAAATCTAACGCGTACGATCTTATGCCCATTGCCCACTGTTGGTCACGGTTCGTGGCTCGCGGCCTCCCGAAAAGGGTTCGTGCGGGAGGCCTAGACATGGCGCCAGGCGCGCTCATCTACACCCGAAATGGATTATTGGATGTGCTCGATGTAATGTACCGTATGCTGTACGATTACGTAACTAACGTAACGTACATAGTACAAATGGAAGAATCAAAGAGTCGTGTACGTACGTACGCCGTTTTTACATTAAACTGAAGACGTCCCAGTGTTTCTTCGGCAATAAAATCGCCACTGGCTACTGGTGACTGACAACTGGATCGTTTCGTGTCTACCGGTCTACCGCTCTCGCTCTGTCACGATCAGTCACACGCGTCGTGATTGTCGAATGTCGAATGTCGGCTACGTTGGAGAGAAAAAAAAAGGGAAAAATGAACGATGCAGGAAGTGCATCGTTCAGCTGGAAAGACGGAAAGAGCAGACCTAAGGACAGTGAGGACAAATAGAACGTGCGTATTCCAGTTCCTCTTTCGCGCTCTTGGATATACGACGGAAGAGAATTTAAAAAATCGTGGACATTGACTACGTAGTGCTATGTGCTACGTAGTAAGTAGTTTACGTCCACGTTTTATGCGGGCGTATTTATAGAGACACTTTAAAATAAAGTTAACGTGTGGCTGTGGGTTGTGGCCGCTTTCAGCTCTGCTCAGATCTCAGTCAGGCTTCTGTGACCACTTGACCAGTGACAGTGAGGCAGTGACTTTTGATGACTTCTGTCTGGTAACAGCTCTAACAGCAGTAACCACTAACCAGCAACAGCACGCAGCTACGTCACTACGCGATGTCATTGATGACGTCACCGCCGTCACCGGTCAGTCCGGTCGGCGGTCATCCTGACGCCTCGTGCCATGCCGTTACGTATACGCGTAAGAGTGAGAAAACACATGAAGAACACCAAGTGCGCAACATCCGTCTTTCCGTATCCGTTCCATACGCATCTACGCATGTGCCACGGTGTCATTGATATTGGAATGTAGCGGTGTAGTGTGAGACTGAAAATCGATAAGAACGTCGAGAATAGATCAATAGAGGGATTTTATAGTATGTATCAACAGCACGTCATCGGCACCACGTCGGCAGGTCCAGGCAGGTCGGCGGGTATCCTTTAGCCACATCGAGATTGACGTTACGATCCCAAGTAGTTTGGGATCGCGACGGCTGTAACTATCATCAAGAAGAAGTTGGAGCAAGGAGACACGTGTCCTTGTCCGGCAAAAGCTGCGCGGCGTTAAACGTCGGCTGCTGGTGAATAATAAACGTAAATAAAATACGTGGAGGAGTACTGTCGTAAAGATCAGAAGAGCTAAAACGAAAAACGATCGACATGGGCCTCAAGGACTTACGAATAGAGTTCGACAATCAATGGAGCACGTATTATCCTGGACAAACGGTGAGAGGTAACGTCATCGTTGTTCTGGACAGCACGAAGAAGATTCGCGGTAAGTCTGGTTATGGTTAAGGACACGCAGTCGTACATCGTAATATAGTCCGAGATGTATTACTTCTTAGGGAACATTATATGTTTACAACATTAAGAATATTTAAAAAGCATCTTAAAGTTTTAAAATTATAAAAATGTCAAAAGATATCGTCCGCGTTATCTTATGTCTCGATTTATTATATCTTTGTGATATTGTTTTAAGATGCCTTCAAGTTAAATTACGTTGCGTACTTGTGGAATCAGTTTTAGATACCAACCAAGTTACGTGGAAATCTATCACGAGCATTACGGTCATTACTTACGTTAACAAAGCTGTACGTGCTTGAATCGGTACATGAATGACTTACGATTTATTTTATTTTTAACTTTGTTAACACGCTACACTCTACGCTGTATATTATGATGTCGTTAAGTAAAAAATATATTTTACTTAAATTAACTTCCAATCTCTTTTGTTACAGGTATGTTTCAGTTCGCTATATACGAACAAAATGCACGTCTATGTCCACTGCCCGTCCACAAGCGATCTCTTTCTATTTTTGCATATACACACACATATACAATGTGTGAAAGTTAATTATAGAACATACTGCCCACACATACTCCTCATCTGTATCTCCCCTTTCTACTGTTACTCCGCTACGCTTTGTCTTCTTCGAGTTTTGTACCACTACACTAGGCTATGTCAAATACACGTAATAGCATTGAATGATTTTAACAAAGAGAATTTTTATATTTTGTTTTATTTATATTAATGAACATAAATCTTATAAATCGAATATAATTTAACAAGTCGAGCAACGTAATGAAATAATTTAATATAAAATTCTACATATTTTAATGCAAAATAGAGAATAAAAAATAAATGGATTAATAGAAATGATAAAAATTGATTAAAAATAAATCATTTGAAAAGACAAACGTGATAAATTATTTAATAATGAAAATAAGTATTAGCTAATACTTAACTATGCTTTTTTTCGAGTGTACTTATAACGTTTGTAAATTTTTTTACGCAGGTATAAGCGTGAAAATAAAAGGTGAAGCGAATACTTGGTGTGTAGTTAAAAAAGAAGATATTGAGCGCAAGGGAGATTATCATGATGAGGTTGCCACAGCACATGAAGAATATTTTGAAACAAAATATTACTTGGTTGGATCAGCTTCGGGTAAGGCTACAATGTTTACTAGATTTTAATGAAACTCAAATAAAACAATACATGAAATGTTCAAGAATGAAATTTGTTAAGCGACACGCTTGAAAATTGATTTTATTAACAAGAAGATAAATAATAAAATACGTAATGTTTTATACGTGGAGTGAACATTTTTTGTAGATGTGGACATATATATAGAGATTACGAAAGACGTTATTAAAATATGACTTATTTAAATAGAAAAAGTGTTATTTTTAAATTTAGCAAGTTTAGTTTTCTTTACTTGAAAGATTTTACATTTAAATGTCTCCAACATATTTATAATCAACTACATGCCTTACGAAAAATGACGTCAGTGGGAGAACGTTGAGCACGAAATGAATCACGTTTATTTAAAAACTCTGTCAGCAAGAATTTAAATCTAAGTCAGGCATTTTTTATTCAACTTTATCATACGTGTGCATTATGATTTTTCCCCTTATATGTATATTTTTATTTTATTATCTTTTATTTATGTTCTTTTGTTAGGTGGAGAAATTGAAATACAATCAGGAGAACACAAATTTCCATTTACTTGTTCCTTGCCGATGAACTTGCCGAGTAGTTTCGAATCGGAGTTTGGATACATTCGTTATATCGTCAAAGCCACGCTGGATCGGCCTTGGAAGTTCGATCATGAAGCTAAGAGTCTTTTCACAGTTGTCGTTCCTTTGGATTTGAATCAAGAACCCAGAGCGGCTGTATGTACTAAGTTTCATGATTAAATAACGTTACATTTAATTTATTTTAATATCTACGTTTAAATTAAAATATTAAATTAAATATAGGATTAATTTTTAAATTATTTGAAAGTATGTTTAATCTTTCTTTAGCAGATATCTTGATATTGTCAAATTATTATACTATAACGTTTGCAAAACTTAATATATATGATCTATCATTTTAATCATTTATAGAAAAATAGACTAAAAGTAAAAAATTTATGAGGAAATAATTTTAATCGTCGTACACGTAAGACTTTATTTTTTATATTGTACCATTTCGTACAGTGGTATCTGTTGAGACGTAAGCTCTAAAACGTATTTTTATTTCAGTAATACAAATAATGGTGGATTGTAAACGTATATTTCCAGGAACCCGTGCAGCAAGAAATGAGTAAAACGTTTTGTTGCTTATGTTGCGGTACGCCACCTTTGACCGTAAATTTTTCACTACCGGCTCGAGGGTACGTGCCCGGACAAACGATGCCAATAAAGATAAATGTCGAGAATTTATCAAACGTTGTTGTGACCGTCATCAAACTCATGCTGCGTGAGGTAAGTATGCAATAACAGTTCTACTTTAAGATTAAATTTTCGTTCATTGACATGATTCAAAGGGCAATATTTCTCGATGGTATCGTAAGGCTGAACAGCTTTTATATTGAAAATTTCGTCGATAAGTAATAACGTATCGTGAGGTCCATCCAGGTTGTGACTGTCCGTGTTACGGATCCTTCCGAGACTAGAATACAAGAACGTGTGATAGCAGAGGTCAGCAAAGGACCGATCCAAGCCGGTGGAACCGCCGATTACGAGCAACATCTGAACGTTCCGCCTCTTCCGCCATCAAATTCGTTCGCTACGTGCCAGTACATCGATCTTGAATATGAGTTGAAGGTGGAAGCATGCGTTGAAGGATGGTTAATGTCTTTTTCATATATTTTTTTTCATATGATTTAGATTATTTCACGTATTATTAATTATACAATCTATAAAATAGTTTACCCATTTTAATCAGTTTTTTATTCTCTTATCTCCTTTAAATAAATCTTAGCTCGCAATATTGTAGGTATCATCGGAATCTGTCCGCCAAAATACCCATCCTTGTGGGAACGGTTCCGCTCTCGGTTCATCATGCCCCGAGTGCTCCACCAGCGGGACTAGACGGTGATTATACCGAACGGAGGCCACTGGAAGTTGGTTTCGTTATACCTTCGGCAAATACTGCCGTGCCTCCATTACCAGAATCTACGTTATATCCAAACTTACGTAAGTTCTCCGCACGCATTAGCGCCGTTCGTTCTTCATACAAAAGATAGAAATACTGAGATTTGTGATAAAATAGAATTTATATTTAGTATACTTGCGACATCTTTATATCATGTAACAAAATCATAGTTTTGTATAGAAATAATTGTTTTCAATTTTTTTCTTTTCAGCTCCACCGTCCTTCGAGGAATCGTCATATGCCGCCAAAAATTTTCGCGAGAAAGAAGAATCGGAATATGTTTACGGTCTGGGTAAACATTTTGCACCAAGATATCCAGTATATAATTTTGCACCTGCGCAGTAACGAGAAAACGAGAAATATTACTGTTGAGATTAAATTTTTGCTTCCTCATAGAGGAAGCTTTGTGATGGTGAAAAAATTTTTTTTCGAGATTTTGATGGAAATAGGTTTAGAATGTTCTAAAATGTCGAAAAATCGTATTAGTAAAAAATGTCCGGAAGTATGTATGTATGTGTGTGTGTGTGTGTGTGTACGGATTTTTTGTACACGCATCTACTTCTACAATTTTTTAGATACCGGGTTGAAATTTGGCACACAAATAGAGTATCATAGAAAGTATGTCCTCCTCAAATTTTATTAAAATCCATAAAACGGTATAGATTTTATGCAGATTTTCATTTTTTT